TCCCCCCTGCCATTACCACGCGGTAGTCGATGGCCATCAGGGTCTTCAGAGATGCGCGGAGGAACTCGACCCATTCGCGGTCGCCCAGGGAGTTCTCCTGGGTGCCAATAACGTAGATGTCGTGGGGGATGCAGGCAGTGGTCTCATCCTGCGTGCACCCCAAGCCCCTCGAGGTTAGCCAGGAGGCAAGGGAGCGGGGTGGCGGCGTGCTGCCTGCGAGCAGGGGACAGTGGATCACCACGGGGGAGCAGCACCTGGAGGGGCTGCCCCCATGCTCCTCGAGCTGCTCTCCAACCCCAGACCCTATACATCTCCAGGAGCTGCTGGGGATGGAAGCATCATGCCAGTCCTGTGGTCCACCCCCACACATCCCACATTGGGGCTTGGATTTACTGCTACCACCTGAAAACCACCCAGAAGCCCAGCTCCTCCATTTCCCTGACAGCCACTGAGTGAATGGATCACAACGGGACAAACCCAAAAGCAGCCAGGCTGGGGTCTTCTCCAGCCTTCTGCACCCACTGAGGAGCAGCTCAGACCTCAGGTTTTCTGGGGAAGCTCACTGACCTCCCAAAACCCACCGGGGCTCCTGAAGAGCCGTGACAGCCTCCCAGGACAATGTGACCTTATCCTGGCTCCTTACCCATGTTCCATGTCCCAACGTACACCGAGATGATGTCAGGCTCATCCAGGTTGGAGTGCTGGATCTTCATCAGCTGCAGCAGCTGGCAAAAGGCCTCTCGCTTCTGTGGGATGATATGGGTGTCTTAGGGGCCCAAACTGTAGCCAGGAGCCCCAGCACCCTAGAAGGTGCCAGTGGTGGGATCAGGGGACATCACACCCAGGTGTAGAAGCTGGCTCACAGGGGTGGTCTTAACCCTGAGACCACCCATTTGCTGTATCCCTACATAAGGGCTCTGTATTCCCCCAGGTCACCCAGCAAGCACAGGTGGTGGCACTTACCCGCGCACTGGGGAAGATGAAGTCTCTGCTCAGGTTCTTCTGTGACTCCCGGTCGTACATCAGCCTCACCTTGCTCTGCACGCTCTGGTATTTGATCAGCTGCACAACTGAATGATGGGTGTGAGGGGGACAATGATGGCATCCCCACCCCCACACATGGAGAGTCAAAGTGTAGACAGGTCTGCAGCCCATCACCCTGGTATCAGGCCTGTGCCAGGGAATCCCACAGCCAGTGGGGGGTCAGCAGCCGCTTACTTTTGTCCTGCGGAATGGTCTCCTCTGGGGACCCGCTGCCCCTTTTGGTGATGGCCACTGTGCCTGACTCCACGTCCACCATCAGGGTTGCCCGCTGCGACTTGCCCATCTTTACCTGTGCACAGGTATGTGGTTCCCCAGTTGGCCCCACACCTGCCCTGTCCCAACAGTGACATGGGGGTCCCACCATGACATCCTGCCCTCACCTCGAAGCTCTGCACGGCCATGGGTTTGGCAGTTGGTGGTGGGGCCGCCGTCACGCTGGGCAGTGCCAGGTTGTGCCTTGCCACCGTCTCCTGCAGAGACTTCAGCACCTGCTAGAAAGACGGCACTGGTCTGGGGGCACCAGGCTAACTGGGAGTACTGGGCACCCTGTGCCAGCCCATCCTGCCCGGAGGGGCACTCCAGGGCTGTGCCACCCCCAGCAGGGTGCTTTGCTGGAGGGTTTAATTTAGATTAGGGGTTTGCTGGAGCAGAGCAAGGTTCCCCATCCCAGGCCACCAGTGGAGCTGGGCAATGGCTGTGGTGGCTGTGCCATGCCCTGCAACCAGCCGGGCTTCCCCAGCCTGGTATTGTGGCAGAAGCAGGCACCTTCTTCTCCAGTGAAGCAAGGAGATTGTTGACAGTAGATATCTTGTTGAGGAGCAGCTCAAGGTCTGGATCACTGGTCAGGAGACTCTGAGGGGAAGTATGGACATTTTTGGAGCAGTGCAGTGCTGCAAAGCACTGCTGCACCCCAAGACGTGAGGGTCCCTGAGGTCTGGCAGAGGAGGCAGCTTCCCCAACTGCTGTGTCCTGGACTGGGTACAGGAACAAGTCCTCGCTTGTCCTCAGGGCACAGGGAGCCAGGTCCCCTCTGCACACACAGCACCCAGGGACCACCAGCACCCTTTGGGCACCAAAACTGCCCCAACTGCCTCCCCACAGACCAGCTGCACCCAGTCATGCACTACGAGGCACCCACAAGTGGCTGGGGGCTCTAGGGGCTCAGGGGGGCTCACCTGCTCCCTGGCCAGGCTGCGAGGGGACATGGGGGGGTCAAACACCCTGGCCAATGTCTCCAGACCTGCCAGCGTGAAGTCGATCTGACTGCAGAGGAGAGGAGTGGGTGAGAGCCAGCGAGGGCATCTCCCAAGCCACCATGAAGGGGATGAGGACAAGGTAGGTGGCCTTGGGGGCTGTCACTTGCCTGTGCAGCGGCCGGCAGGCGGTGACAAGCGCGGTGCTGAGATGACGCAGCTGCGGGTGGCCATGGCGCAGCGCCTCCAGGTCCAGCTGCAGGTGGTGGTTCAGGTACTCGGCCATGAAGCCCATGAAGTCACTGGCCGGGCTGCAAGGGCAGGGGGACATCTTTGGGAAGATCCCCTTCCCAGGTATGCCACCATGGCGAGGGAGGGGTGGCTGTGCCCACCCCATCGGTCCCACCCAGGGTGGGCAGGGGCACATTACCTGCTGTGGGCCTGCTCCTGCAGCCTCTGGTGCAGCTGCTGCGAGATGTGGGGCTGGCTGGCGATGGGAGCACTAAGCCATGCGTCTGTCCCGGCTCCTCCAGCCAGGATTGCGCTTGCCACGTGCCCACTGTCTCGGCCGTCCTCCCCATCCGTGGGCCGAGGACTTTCGGCTCAGCGGGACACCCTCCTTGCCCCAGTGCAGCCCCTGCCTCTCCCTGCCTGGCTTACCCGAGTCCTCATCGGCTGTCTGCCTGGCTCGGTGCACAGGGTAGAGCAGGGGTGTCACCCCCGGCTCCTCCAGCCAGGATTGCGCTTGCCACGTGCCCACTGTCTCGGCCGTCCTCCCCATCTGTGGGCAGAGGACTTTCGGCTCAGCGGGACACCCTCCTTGCCCCAGTGCAGCCCCTGCCTCTCCCTGCCTGGCTTACCCGAGTCCTCATCGGCTGTCTGCCTGGCTCGGTGCACAGGGTAGAGCAGGGGTGTCACCAGACCGTTGTTGGGCTGCTGGTAGGCACTGATCAGGTCTGGGAGGGTGCGGAAGCATTTGGCTTGGATGCCTTGAATGGTCTGGGGAGGCAGAGGAGGGGAAGACCCATCATGTTCACCCCCCTCTGCTGGCTTCATGTGCTGGGAGATACCAGTCTGCCTTGTCAGGTGGGTCTGTCTGCTAAAATGTGGCCACGACGAGCTGGAAGTCCCAGCTGGACATTGGCCCCATGGGGAGCTCCCCTTGCAGGGCAGCAGCGCAAGGAGAGAATCATGGAGACGTCTGCCTGGTGCAGCAGATGGGGATGCTCTCTAGGGAACCTTGGGATGCTCTTTTTAAGGGCTAGAAAGGGCAGCTGCAGAGAGCTGGGTACCAGGAGAAACCGTGAAGTGACACCAAAGAGAAGTGAGGCCAAGCTGGTGGCCAGGATAGACACTACAGGGACAGGCATTGTGGGGACCATGGCTGTGTGGCCAAGCTGGGGCAAGTGACAGTGGCCGAAAGGGGTCAAGTGTTTTGCTGGTGACAGCCAAGGGACTGGAGTGGAGGCCACTTTCCCAGGCAGCCCTGTGCTGAAGAGTTGGCTGCAAAGCACTTGCATCCTGCCATCAGCTCGTGCAAAAAGCAAACAGCACCGCTCTACGTTCTGGGGAGGGCAGGCAGACGCCACCTCTCCGGGTGCTGCGCGGGGGAGGTCCCCTTGCACCTGCATCCTGCCCGTGCCCCAGATCGCACCCAGTGCAGCTTTAGCCAGGGCAGGGAGAGCACCCTGGTGACACCCAGCCTGTGGGCACCCGCTGCTGCACCCACCTGCACAGAGAGCAGGCCCTCATCATCTGGGAGGATGCGGTAGGTGTGGACGTGCCGCTGGAACCTGGGAGAGAGCAGATGAGGGTCCCCCAACGTGCCCCCACACGACCGTGCTCCCCATGTCTCTGACAGCACAGTTGTACTCAGTCCGAGGCCACTGCAGCATCCCTGCCCATGCCACCATCCCCCCTGGCATCGGCCTGGCCTCCACCTCAGTGCTGGGATGAAGTCGGGGGTGCCTGCCGGCTGAGCCCTGCAGCGTGCCCCGTGGCCCCCATGCCCTTCAGCACCATGTGTTTGCAATTTGTCCCACATGCTGGGCCAGGCCAGCCTTAGGAAAGAGGGGGGGCATCCTGCCAAAGCCGCTGAGGCGCCGCCCAACACGCTCCCCGCTGCAGACATGTCGGCTGCAGCAAGGGTGCAGGCAGCAAGGAAGGGTGCAGGAAGGGTGCAGGCAGCCACAGCAGCAGTAGTCGTGGGGGCTGTAATTCCAGGCCCAGGCATGGAGATGGCGAGGGGCCCCGTGGGCCACAAGGGATGCAGCCTTGAATTCCCAGCATGGGAGATGTTAACAGTGGGCATTGCAGTCCGGATGCAGCTGCGTTGGGGGTTGGAGGGAGAGGGGATGTTTGTTTTTGCAGAGGGCGGGTGATGCGAGTCAGCCTCTCCCTCTCCCGTGCTTGGGGCTGGGCTGGTGGGCAGCCCTAACGGGCTCGGGGTGCTGCTCCCCATGAGCACTGAGCCCCTGCAGCACTGGATTTCAGGTTCTTCCTTCAGCGGCCCTGATGCTGGGCAGAGCTGCTGGCCTAGGCTTCTAAGGACATGGGGTTCTCCCCTGGTCTGAGTTGGGGTGTCAGAGAGCTGGCACCCCACTGGCATCCCTGTAGAAGGCTTTTCCATGAGGTTTTGGCAGTACCAGAAGCAGCATGCCCAGAGCAGGAAGAGGAACAGAGGGACCCTGGTAAGAGATGAGAGAGAGAAGCCACAAGCAGAAGCCAGGCAGGTGACTCACAGGAGGCAAAGGGCATAGGCCCCTGAGACCGACTCGCTGTCCCGCACCAGGAAGCAGCCGTCCCGCCCAGCCTTGGCCAGCAGCTCCTCCGCCACCACCCGGCTGATGTCCCGGTGGTACCAGCTTGCTGCCGCCATCCTCTGAAACAGTGGGACACCAGCTGCGCTGCGTCCCCGTCCCAGCCTCGCATCGGGGCTCAGCAGCGGATGCTGCTCCTCAACTGGTCTGTGGGGTCAGTTAGGGAAGGTGAAGGTGAGGGTGGCGTGGGGGGACCAGCCCCCCGGTACCTAAGCAGGTGCTGGCTGGAGGTCCCAGTGGTGACGTGCAGTCACCGAGGTCATGTTCATGGGGACAGAGTGCCCTGTGGCCAGGCAGTGTGGCAGGAGCAGGACCAGGGGAGTGGTTGGGGGAAGCTGGGGGTCTGGATGCTCCTCATAACAGGAGGCCCCAGCCT